AGGGGAAAAAAGGTAAAACTGAAAGCGTGCACAAAGCCGTAACTCAAGGCTGCAAACTACAACCTTGAAAGGTACAACTCAAGGAATAATTTGAGTCAATTTCCCTTACATTTCTGCAATTTTCCCACAAATCTTCTATTAGTTGTTCCATTTGCTCAAATCTTTCTTTCTATCAAGTTATTTTTAAGTGTTACTTTAAAAACCCTTGCTTCCAGTTGCAGCAAAATGTATTGTGGATCAATGAAATGATGAGAGTGATTTTTGCCAGTACAGGCATAAATGGGGTAAGTTTGGCACATTATATCTCCTATGCAAGCACGGTGACCTATCTTTTTTTAATGTATTTTTTGAAACAGACATTGTTAAATTCACCTTAAAAGTGAATCCACAGGGAACACGAACAACTAATATGCAATTGGTACGCATGTACTCCACTGACTGAATGTTGGTTAGGCATTTTTGTGATGCACTGGTGTATAAAGATATAAGAAATTTACTAAAGATGTTATTCATCTATTCACGAGCACAGGACAAAACTGAATACCACACTATGGAATTCCATACTCTGATGCTCTATCACTGAGCTACAGAAAATTTCACAAAATTTTCTGAACACCAACGACAAAACGGTCGAAAATCAACATATTTTGAAACCATGTAGGCAAGATTACGTCCTTCTCCGTTTGCAATCTGGATTAACATCCGAGCCGAATTCATGCGTAAAAGCTGCAATTGTTTCAACATTGCTTAAGGGGTTGGAGGACAGTTCAGAGAGTCGTTTTTAGAATATAGACATATTTTTTCACAGTAGATAAAACACATAATTCATAAAGCCTTTTTTTCCAAACAAATTTTGATCAGAATAGTAGATGTTCGCTCGGTAGATAACAATAACTAAACTTCATTTGCACTTTTTATCAAGAGCGGTTGATTAATGTGTGAAGTTTTCGACGCGCCTTGAAGCTTTTAGGTCAGAATTTCGCAGAGTCTGAATAATATTTCCAAAGGGTCTTGATATTAGCAGCAAGTCAAGAATTTAAAGAAAGCGACAAAACTTTTAAGTCTGTAATACATGTTTCGACAGAGACTTCTGTCATCTTCAGTTAATTAAAGTACAAAGTGTTGGAAGTTAAATCATCTAGTAAGTAGAAAAATGCTAATTATGATAAATGGTGACAACAAGAGAAGAGGTAAAGCATGAAATTGAGAGAATTAAAAGTATAGTTTTAGATTTACATGGTGTAATTGTTGATTCAAGGATGGTTGTCCTCTTTGAATATAAATAGCCTCTTTTATTTTGAGTTGAAAACCGGTAGAGGCGTGATCCAAAACATGGAAGTTATCTGCTGTGCAGAATCTTGCAGATGCTTGAAAATGTGAGAGGCCCTGTCATTGACTAAGGGACTAAAATTCAACTTCCAACACTTTGTACATTAATTCATTGAAGATGACATTAGTTTCTGCCGAAACATGTATTACAGACTAAAAAGTTATGTCGCTTTCTTTAAATTTGAATAATACATTTTAACATTGTGTTTACAGCATCGACAAAAAGCAAACTCCCCCCCACCTTGATTTTTTTCACTTTTTATATGTTAATCCTTATATCATTGATTGTAAAAAAATTGTAACGATCAATTCGCGTTTGTCGGAAATAAAGATTAATTCCAGAACAATTATTTTGGTGCCTTTGACAGTGAAATTAGTCTCCACCAATGCCAGTGCATTAGAGAAAGCAAGAAGGAAATATTGATTCCACCCCTCCCCCCATCGTCCCATCATCTCATATAAGGGCCACATGTCAGAAAAAAAGTTTGTGGTCAAATTCGGCTTTCAAAATGGTTTATTATCCAATCGTAGCTTTCCTTGCTCACATGGGTGGGTATATGTTGAGAAAAACCTTCGTCGCGACAAGTTTCAGAATGAACGCACTCATTAAGTTGCAAGTTAAACATGCTAAATTTCACGGTCGATAACATCGGGAAAACGTTTTCTTTCCGCTTCAATTCATCTGGTTGGGTTCTTAGCTGGAGATCTTATGATCGAAAGAGTAATCTCCTCAACTCTTATATGATAAACATAGCTGATCCGATGTTTCAATGATGCTGGTTAATTTTTCCTGACCTCACTGGGCTGAATGTGTCGACATCTCGCCGAAAATTAGAGAAAAATGGGCCAAAATTGGTCTGTCGGGCTTCGTAGCGCCCGCTTTTCTGAGTTTCGGAAAAGTTCAACTTCTACACGCGGGCTTTGGAAAAGAAAAGTTTTGTCTTCAATTTGCGTAAATGATAGGGGAGATTTGAGAATGGGAAGGCCTGTCCCTTTGCACATGAAAACGCACAAAATTCGAAGAGCGATTTTCTGAAACCCCAACTACCTTCCGAGGGAAGAGTAATCTTTACTCTAACAGAATCTGGTTTGCTTCTTAAAACATTGATCAACAGGAACCACTATCCTTTTGAGTTTGAAAATCGTCATTTGTAGATGTACTCAAAAATGGAACGTTTCGAGCGAGCAAGCCATTGCCTCGAGTGCAGACAGGAATAAAAATACGCCTGTCAAATGAAACAATGCTCATCATGGAAACAGTAGCGCTTGTAAATTTTTCCACGTTTGTGGCGAATTTAAATCTTTTGATGTATCAGCTGGCCTTAGCGGATGTGACAAACATTTTAGAGGCAGGAGCTCTTTCCGGAGCTTAGTTTTAATCAGAGTTAAATGGATCTTCGGGAAGTGTTTATCAGCAATGTTCCTAAATATTGTCACATACCCTATGCTGGATAAATCCATTTTATGACTTCTCTGATAGTAAATATATTTTCGCTTTGAAAAGAATCTGTTCCTGCCTCTGAAAATATTTCAACAAGGTTTGAGTTATCTCAGATACGATGCCGTAGTTTCACAACAACTTTTCGAGTTTTGTTGTATCTGTTTTGTAGGCAGTGGCAAAAGGCAAAACCTACATAGATGTAAGGTTTTTATGTTGTTTAACGGTTTTCCTCGATGAGAGCTTCACTTTGGACAGGAATTTTTTTTAACGGGCTCTTGGAGTATCCTCGGTTGAATCTTCGGGAGGAAAAATCTCGCTATAAATGGATGTGTACTTAAAATTCATAAAGCTTCAGCTTCCAGACTTCTAAGTTAAGATAAATGTGAGTAAAGCGAAGACTCATTTGCATATTTCCACATTCCCAGAGTACAAAGCTAAGATACATGCGAGTAAGCTAATCATACATCACACATTTTCACGCTTTAAGGTTACTCTGAGGTGATTAATTTTATGTGCAGCACATTCCATTGTGATGACGTGTTCTGTGCTCTTCTAACCCACGCAAAAGCTGTCAAATACCAGAAAAAGAGTTAAAAGAATCGTATTTTTAATGAGTCAAAATGCTGCATAATCATTTTAATTTTGCCTCTTGATAATGTATACTATATAACTATGTGTACCTGTAACTATGACGATCATCGTTAGTTGTAATAACGAAAACGGCGAAAAAGTGACGAGACGTGTCAGAAAGAGGTTTTCCTAAGGCATCTGGTCTGGTCTGTTACTGATAGGTTGGCATGTAACAGGGATAGAGGGTAGCCAAATAGCCGTACGGATTTGGTTCATAACCAAGATTAGTAGCAGAAATATCCGTATAAGACTTGTTTACAAGGATCGCTCCAGTTTAATTGTGAGAATAAGAAGCCGAACTGATATTCGAAAATTACTTACCATTAACTGAAGCAATGGGCATCAAATCCCCATGGGCACTGCTGGAAAAAGTGTCTTAACGTTTGCACTATTGTCAAACTTTAGAGTCTTATGAGAAAAATGTCGAAGATGTAAGTATGGCGGAGCAAGCTTTTGTCCCTTACCCTCCCTCCCTACAAATGACTGGAGGGTGACGCAATTTTGAAAGGTCATAGCCTCAAAACTTTACTACAGTCTTACTGAGTTTGCGGAGCTCATTCAAGCAGTAACGATGGACTCCCGCGACGATGTAAAAGAAATGTGGAGCTATCGGCCATATAGGCGGTAGAGAATGGCAAACAAGAGATTGCACACTCTAAGAGAGAGGCAATTCCACAACGGTGTGTAGCCGAGAACAAAAAGTAAAGAAGAGACTGGCCAGTGGCGCTAAACGAAACGATGGCGGGAAGAAACGTTTAGGGCCTTTCAACTTAGGAATGCGTTCAGAAGTTTAGGAAGTCACTAATATGCATGTGACAAAAGCGGAAACGAGCACGCTTTACCTGAAGGAATAAATCACTAGATATTCCGAAAGTATAACAGTAGGTCAATAAAAAATTGAAAAACAACCATATTTTCAGGATCTGAAATAAATACAAAGAACCTACTTAAACTTTAGACCCTAGTTATAAGTTGCGGTTAAACTCATCAAAGATTGCGGGACTATTGGAACATATCATGTAGGCACTGTGCATAACTTTAGAAGCAACCAAAGACGCTCCACCTACATGTGTGTCGACGAGTGAAGTGCGGATTGATAATCGAAAATCACTGATTTTATACTCTTATACGCTTATAACTTTTGGTATTCACTCTGCGAATACTGAAATCTACTGTCTCAGTTTAGCGAGGAAATCGATTGGCAAAGTTATTAAACCAGTTAAGGTTTAATAATTTTAAGGTGGTTTATTAAACCACGTCAACAGCAATAAGAAAACTGGCTGCCATTTTGAGGAGCGAAGCGCGACTTGATGCGCACCGATCGGTGCTTTTAGCCGTAGTAATTTCTCTTCATCCTACCGACTGCTTTGTTTGTTGTCGAATACCTTACTTTACAAATATCAGATTGACCTCTAGACGCCCGATTGTCGCTAAACTCGTCAAGGATTATGTAAATATAGAATTAGTTAGCGTAACTACTAAGCGTAACCATGAAAGCAACGAGAGAAGTCGATCAGTTATGATGACGAGCAAAACGCGACTTTATCTTGATGATCACTGATTTTCTCGAAAGTAGTCTCATTCCACCCTTCTTGCAGCTATGTCTGTTGTCGAATACCGAGTTCTTCTGTATCAATTTAGCGAGGAAATTGATTGGCAAACTCAACGAAGAAAGTTGATATTTATCCTCAGAGCTTACCTTCCTGATGGCTCTGAAGGAGGTATAACTGACATTGATTCGCTACTTACTATGCTGGAGGAGAAGAATATTCTTGGAATTGATCGTCTTAATGTAATGAAGGAACTACTAAAAGAGATAGAAAAGTGGGATCTTCTTCGCAGAATAGAGCGATTTGAAATTAAGAGAAAGGACTACAAACAGTTACTGGAGAAGATAATTCATGCACTCGACGAGTCCAATGAACTGCAACGACTCATTTCAATCTGCAGAGGAAAAAATCTGATTGCTCGTGAAAGCGAAGAAGATATCGTGGATGTCAATGCATTGTTCACAGTGCTAGAACAACAGAATGATTTGGGGATAGAAGACCTCACTCTCCTGAAAACCTTAGCAAAAGAGGTGGAGAAACCAGATGTATGCATACTGCTAGAGGAGTTTGAGAAGAAGAGAAAACAGGAAGAAGATGCCGAGCGGAAAAAGAGAGAAAGGGAGTACAACATACGAAGAGCACGCGGTAAGGAACAATTCCTTACCCAATTTCTAAACAGTTAATGAAACAGTTTATGAAAATTCCTTGACCAAACTTTGGATTTGAAATCGAACATGGCGAATAGAATTCTAGGGTTTTTAGTCGGTGAAGTTGCCAGACTTAAGTTAAGTGTTTGTTCAATCGACCGTCTGAAAAAATTTCGAGAACTGTATAATCAGAAACTAAGCTTGCGAAGACGTGATTTCGGACTATGTTGCTGATACGAGTGGGTAGTTACTTCCACTTGTCTGTACGGAAAATTTAAATCCTCGGCCACACATGGTCACTCTACCTCTAGATATTGCTTCCCTACTCGATATTTCTTCAAGGTTTTAGCTTAGTTTTAACCTGACAGAGTGCAAAAATGTGCGAAATATTTCTATGTGGTTTATTGTGATTTTGTTGATGAGGGTATACCTGTTTATTTGCACCTTCTTGAAAGCATCGATAGAGTGCTGGTAAGACATGTTAAGACAATCTGGCGGGCGAATAAACACTAACTTCGTTCCCAGGGCCTCCTCTATGTTATTTTCAAAAGCGGCGAGTCGCCCGTAAGAGTTGAAGGAGAAGTTTGCTCTACATTGTACGTAGTGTTTACATCCTTCGTGCAATTTGCTAGATACCGTGAGTTGAGACTCCAACGAATCAATAAGTGCTTGAAATTTGTCTTTAGTTACGTTAAAAGCTCGTCCTTGGTCACTTCTACTTTACAAACACCTTAGTAACCCGGTCATTCACGCAAGAACACACCGTGCGATTTAAAAACAGCTACTGTAAAGTTATCGCAAAAGAATTGAGTCTAAAAAGACCTTTTTGTAGCTTTCATTTCTTGAAACAGATCTATAAGAGATACAAGGAGTGAGCTCTTACCCCACTGCTGATCAGTTAACCATTTATACCCTAACATCAGCTCATATATTCTCCATTCTGTTCTTTGTGCATTTGTTATGGCACCGACAAAGGGAAATTTAGTTAATAATCAAGAGCTTATTAAAGTTACCATTATTTTCTTAATTTATGGGCGGAACGAGTGATTCAGTGGTCACGCCTTATTTGGAAATTAGATACTAGTTACCCTCAGGGATTAAACAATTAACATACCAGAGATCAAATGGCCTTGCGGACCGCAAATTTAGGCCAGGAACATGAAAAGTCTGCCAAGAGAGGAGTTTCAAAAATCAATATTCAATATTTCTCTCCCTGATTAAACTATTGTATATTTATTAGTCCAAAGATTTATTTTTTTCACATTCCAGCTCAGGCCGCTTCTGTTCTTTCTGGTGGAATAAACATTGGAGAAAGATTAATAGGAGGTAAGACAGTGTTAATTAACCTTGCTGAAAAGCAGAGCCAAATTATGAGGAACCTAGAACCTGAATCAGTAATTCCCGCTGACAATTTGCTTTCAAGAAGCTCACGCTACTAGAGTCTTCGAGTGGTAATTGCATACTCAAAACTAATATTGTCACCCTTACCAGAATCAACGATGAGATCCAACAAAGAAAAGGAAATTTGCTCGGTATTCACTAAATAAACATGGAAATTGCTGAGTCTGGACAATGTTTGTTAAAGTGCTTTTCTTGGAAAATCTTTTACATTTTTTTTCTGTGATCGAAAAAGAATACTTTGTGTCTATAGTCCAACCACTTCTCTTTATTCATAAACTTTCTTGTCGTCTGTCTCAGTAACGTATAACTTTCGAAAACAGCAATCCTTTCAAATTTAGACTTTGCTAGGCTCTCAGTTGTGGAGAAAGCGTAATTCGCTTTCCTGCAAAGAGGCAGGAGAGCAAATTACGCGAGGAGTCTGTGAAGAAGTGCTCTCCTTAGCCAACTCTTCCCCAACGTTTGTTACTTTGCTCAGGCCCGCTTTTTTAATCGACTCCACAAGCGGCTAATGTAACCCTATGATTTCTACATTTTTTGCAGTTGTCACACCTCACTGTACTTTCCGCAATGTTACTGGTGGTGCTGTGGTCGTCACTACATGGATGGTCCTTCGCAGAAGTCTCAGTATCGAAGAGTTTGTCAACGCTTTCAAAGAAGCTGTCCTTCCATTTGGAAATTGCTTGCGTGCAATTAGTGAAGGATCGATCCGATTTACGATTCAAGCAGAAAATATTTCTGCTCTTGACGTATTATGGCAAAGTTATCAAGACGAAAAGCTTAAGACAAATTTACAAGAGTTTCTTGTTACTGAGGAAATAAAGCAGCTGGCGGGTGGTGAAGTGACGTTGACTGTGCACATCGACGAAGATGAATACAGAAATGCGAGGTTCGATTTGATAATATCAGGAACAGAAGGTAAATACACCTTTAATAGTCCCGCCATTATGCATGACTCCTTGTGTGAGATAAATTAGAAACGTCTCTTGTTGTGTCTAATAATGGGACGAATCACTTCATTTTCAGCCTGATCTGTCGCGTGGGCTAAATTAATTTTTTCAGATGTTGCCACCAAATGTTTGACTATTGGTAAAATTCGCTCTTAAGTTTCACCTTCCTTGTGGGTTATTTCTTACTAGCGTTTGATTTGTTTCCGAGAGCTTGATGATTATCCAAGTAAGGAAGGTGTTCAATGTCTCAATTCTCTTTTGCAAATGATGTAGAATGCACCACTTCATTCAGCACTATATTACATTTTTTACTATGAGTTTTAGAGATGAAACTTGAAGAAAAAAGAGGATTAAAAGATCGAGCAAGTTCTGATTCAGACCTTCAGAAAGAAAGAAACATGACCACAGTGAATACAAAAGATCCTTTTCCAGAGAGGAAGTTTTTACCATTTGACAGAAAAGTACTTGTAAAAGAATATTTGGAAAATCTTCGAGAGACCTTCAGCGAAATCACATTACCGAGTGATAGTGGAGCTGGGACCTGGAGTAGTGCCACTTCTGAATATGGATTTGGCAAAGGTGAAAGTTATAGTTAGTCTCCACCGAATGATGATTTTTAATTGAATAGGTATGAGCTGATGAAGGCACTAGACAGGAGTGTCGAAACGTTGGGTCTATGAATTGTGACTTCTTCGGTTACATTCATTAAATCTGTAAACCAGAGTAGCATCAAGCTATGTCTGATTGTCCACCTGGTTGCCGTGTGAACTTTAATATAAAAAAAAGATTTGGTCAATATCCAGCCATCTCGACCTTAAACTGGTCAATAACTCGTACGGAATGTGGATGAGAATGAGTTAGAATAAACCTGCTAAAGATATGGAATTACTAAAGCAATTAGAAATGAGGACACTCTTTATGAGTGATATCCTATATTTCGTATCGCTGTATATTTATTTGCTTATGGATCTGAACAAACACAGGTTTAGAACAACATTTTCAAATGACGGTATTTTTGTCAAAGAACGAAAAAAACACAACAACTACAATAATTATCAGTCAACTTTGAATGTGAAGTTTTGATTTATCTCCAGTTAAGCCTGTCAATCTGAATTACCAGCGGATGAACGTGATTACAACCAAATTCTTGTTTCGTACTTGGTATGGCTGAAACTTGTACTTTTTCAGAGCCTGAAAGCTTACTGTAATGGCATAGCATAACAGCCCATTTTAAATTTCATTCATCCCTCTTCTGGCAGTTGATTTACTTAAACTTTCATTTAACCTCTTCGAATCGGTCGGCGTTTTATTGGAATAAGTCTGCTGATTTTGAAACACCTAAAACAGCAGACTCTGATTTGAACAATTCATGGGCAACCATCAGATTTCTCTCCGAAAGTTTGATGTCAGTATCGTCGTTACTTATTCTGTGATCGTAAATGCTGTTTTTCCTTTCTTTTTTGTCGCACTGTAGAATCTATTTTGACATCGTCAAGCAGTGCTCGAGCTGTTATACAACAATTGGACAACTCTATACAGCTAGATAAAGGCTTTTTCAAAAATCCAACCACAGAGGACAAAAGGGCTATCCGTGGCTTGGCAAGAAGGGCGAAACATTTAAAAAGATTCGACGTTTTCTATTACTTAAGAGAGATCACACCACCAGGAACAACAGGTTAGCTGTTTGATATCATTTCCTTAAATCCTTCTCAATACTTATCTATGGATTATTGAACAGTTATAACCATGATGCCTTGTTAACAAAATAGTCAGAAGGTCTTTAACATCGAACTGTCTTTAATCCGTGAAATTCAAATAGAAAATAATTTGCATAAAGCAAGCAACACCTTTAAGTTTGCAAGACATGTTTGGATATTAATCGTGTCAGTTGCAAAATAATGTCCTTGTTACAACTTTAAAAGTTCTTGTCAACGCAGCGAAAAAACGCGAACGAGAGACAATACACGAGATGAGAGAATCAACAATGATAATGGAAGGGGGAAGTGGGGGATCCTCATGAATTCCATAAATAATAGTTTCGAATCATTTGATTCGTGTGGTCGAGCCTTTATTACGATTCTACGTTTGTGCGGGAAGCCATTGAGTTAGACTCAGTATTTATTCCTAAGACGATTCTTCGTTTCTTTCAGGTCCTTGGTTACATGAGAACTTGCTGATCAAGGACATCCCCCAATATATAAAAGAAAAAAAATCAAAACTTTTGGAACGTAAGTAAAGTTTTGTGAAATAGTCGCCAAATAGGAACGCTTATGTGTAAATGCATTTGCACAGTGGCCTGTTGCATATTCCCGGCCATCGACGTTCACGGGGATCCAGTTTACAAAGATATGGATACTTCCGGCCGGGAAATTCCATTTGCAACCTCATGGTAACCGGCTGAGAGACACATTCCCTTTGTAATCACTTTTATTGAACCAGTAAACTTGTGGAGTCACCCCGTATCATGTAATGGAGCCCTTGGCACATGTTTTCAGTCTCATACTTTGCATCGCTTCTTTGTTCCTGTTCACTAGGAGAACAATAGTCGCGAGGTGTTTTGACAACACACAGAAAACTACATATCACTAAAAAAGAAATTTACAGAGCTTGGTCTTCTCGTTTAAATAAGAAATATTGAAACAGCAGAAAAAATTTTCTTATAACTAGTGAGTCTGGAATGGCGTCTCTACTTTTACACACACTCCACTCCATATGTCGAGTGCATCACATAGACCCATACTCGAAATGAAACCATACTGCAGATATGTTGCTCTTTTCTCATTACAATGGTCCATGAGTATATTCTTGCCAGCAGTTCATAAAGTAGGTCACTTATATAACTTGATGGTCTCGTGGCGTTCATTTATAAACAAGTCATATTTCGTGACGTACAACTAAGGTGAATGTGTGTTTTCTTTGTTTTAGGGACCTTTTTGGGGATGCAGTATCAAAAGAGCGGACCAAGCGACATGAGCTACCCAGAGAGCACTACCATACTGGATCTTGTCGCTATGCGAAACGAGTTAAGAACAGTGGGTGAGCTGTACGACTTGATATGTGAACGTGGGCTGCCTCACATTGCCGATTATCTTTAGATGTCTCAACTCTACCAGCCCACGAGGATCTCTTGATCTCATGTTTTCTTACTCTGTCCTATGAGATGATGAATCAGCTCACCCTTGCCACAGGGAACAGATAATTTGCTGCTAAAGTCAGTCATACTGAAGTGACATGATTAACTATTCCTATAATTCCTCCGACTGAGCCAGTTAGGTTGGGTTGGTTATTATAAAACGTTCTGTTAGTATCGGAAGGTAATTTAGTACTGCACATAATTTAAGTTGGCATTAACTTTTCTCTCATCAGTAACTTACGTTAGCTTTCTAACCGACGCTAAAAATCATTACCTATATTTAGCATTGTAAATAGTGCTTGTCTTTCAAATGGTAGAAGCAGTAAAATTCCATGTTTACACGGTGTTTCCATCGGGTTAAAACTTACAATTATTTCTAAAGGATTTAATCAAACTAACTACACTTGCTAGGAAAACCAAAAATACTGTAGTCAAAGTCAAACTTGCTTTACAAGGAAACCGTGTATATGATACCGTGTATATTAACATTGTACTAAAAAACTAGACGATCTCAGTTTCAAAAATGAGTTTTCTCAATTTCATTTCAAACTCACTTAAGGAGTTGTATTGTTTGATTTATTTCGGGAAGCTTTTCCATAACAAGCTAAAGCTTAAACTTCGTTTACAACAATTAAACGAGTTTTATCTTTGACCTGTTCATATGTAAACGAGCTGTTGTATTTTCAAACCATAGAGTTGCAAGAGTTTGTTTTCCGACCAGCAATTATCAAGTGCTAGTTCATGGACATGTTTGACAAAAGAGAGAAAGCAGATAGGCTTTATCATAACACTGACATTCCGGTGAAAGATTATTTGACGGGTCTGGTAGCCTCAATTCTCGGAAAAATTTTCAGGACATCAACGACAAAACGGCCGAAAAAAATAAATCCAAACCGAATCCATTCATTAAAGCTGCAGTTGGTTTCAATAGTGTTTGAGCGGTTGATGGAAAGCTCAGAGAGTCACAATTGGGATATACATACATATGTGAAATATGTGTTTAATCTATTGTGAAAAAGAAAAGAAATATATATATATGCATTTTTTTTTCACAATAGATCGAACACATATTGTAACTGTTGTTAAGTTAAAGATTAAGTTTGGTTAGACACTAGTGACGCGTAAGATCAAAAGGGCTATTATAGTACCTCGTGCGTTAGATTAGGTTTTTTTGTTGGTATTTTAGTTAGACGTGTTTGACATCAGATTATTACTCTGCAATAAATCGCATTGGAGTCACGGTTATACGTGTCTGGTGTCAAATTTAGTGCATCGATGTCCTTGTGAGAACTTTGAATTGCGACACCCCTACGCTATAAACGCCTGCATTTATACATATTTCATGAAGCCTTTTTCTCCAAACAAGTTCTGATCAGAATGGTAGATGTTCGCATGGTAGATAACAATACCTAAACTATATATTTGCACCTTTTATCAGTCACAGATGAATAGTGTGTGAAGTTTTCGACGCACATGGAGACTTTTAGATCAGAATTTGGCAGAATTTGAACAAATAAATCTTGACATTGTGTTTACGGCATTGGCAAAAAGCAAAAACATTAACCCTGATTTGCTCCCTATCTATATATATGATAATCCCTATACCAATGACTGAAAAAATTGTAACGATTGATTTGCATTTGCAAGAAATAAAGATTAATTGTAGAACAATTGTTCTAATGCATTTGAGAGAGAAATTAGTCCCCACGAATAGCAGCGCATAACGAGAAACGAGAGTCAAATGATTCCGCCCCTCCCCCCACCGTCCCGTCATCTTATATGAGGGCCACACGTCAGCCGAAAAGTCTGTCACCAAAGTAGGTTTTCAAAATAGTTTATCATCCCACAATAGCTCTTCGTGCTCACGTAGGTGGGTATATGTTTAGAAAAACCTTCGTCGAGACAAATTTCAAAATGAACGCATTCATTAAGTTGCAGCTTAAATATCACCGCCGATGAAATCGGGAAAACGTTTTCTTTTTGTTTCAGTGAATTTGGTTGTGTTCCTGGTTGGAAGTCTTATCATCAAAAGAGGAATCTCTTCAACTCTTTTATGATAAACATGGCAGATCTAGTGTTTCAATGACGCTGGTTAAATTTTTCTTGAGCTTAGTGTTAATGTGGCGACGTCACTAATTATTCAAAACTGGCGAAGTTGTCAATATTAATTAATTTTACCATCCTATTCTGCTTTGAGATGCCACAGCTGATAACGATAAAGCGGAACGGCAACTAGTGACAGATAGAATTACATAAGAAAGTTACATGAGCGTTAAGCTTCATCAGGCATTTGTTGTTTACCTACTAAGGTAATTTGGTATTCTTGTTTTTATTCGCCGGCTCTGACGAAGGGCTAACGCTCGAAACGTCAGCTTTGAAACTCTTAACGGTGGCCAAATTTACGTTATCAACTCAGTTGATAATATCAGATTACCTTTTATATTTTATATCCACCGACGCAGCACCACAGTTTCTTTAGAAACTTACCCCCTTTATTGCTAACCAACTATTCAGTAGTAGCCAATCAGCTGCTTTATAAAAATGCTTTCACTCACTTATGATCCTTTTTCCCCCCATTTCCATTATCACAACAAGCGATTATCATCTCGAGTACAAGTAGAATATCTAGGAAAAACTATGCCAAAACCATTTGCAGTATTACGTAGGCCAATTGTCGCTGGATAGGAACTCGAAGTTCCGATAGACTGAACCTATCAAGCAAGTTTTCTCCTTTCCTCAAGAAGAGGAAATTTCGATCGAAACAAACCTGAAGGAAATAGCCAATTCTTTAAGCCAGGATGAGACATGTTTGCAGAAGTTAGACAATATTGTGCAAGAAAAAAAGCAAATGCTCAATTGATTTCGCCGCCTCCTAACAGAGGAGGCATTTTTTATTTGAACTCACTAGTCTTTGAATCCAGCGAGGAACGAAATGGTAGATAGTGTTACCATATGATCTAACTTAACAATCCCAAACTCAATAGAGAATAATACATGGGCGAGCGTAGATATGGAATTTCTCTACGAGTGTTCAACTCGATAGCTCACGAATGAGCGCAGCAAACGAGTGAGATGTCGAGTTGAACACGAGAAGAGAAATTCCATATCTACAAGCAACCATTTATTATTTTGTTTATCATATAAACACAATAGCCCTTTACCGCCAAGAAAAGCCGACTTAATTAATGAATGAAAATAAATGAATCGACAATCCCAAATAACAATCGTAAGGTGCGTTAGCGCTAACTCTTAAAATGGAAAAATGCGTTGAATCATGATTACAAAAACAACAATTTTTAATTTACCAAATTCTCATTTATTGACTTTTTCCTTACCGACAGAAGAAGTCCTTCAGGTAAACGACCAAAGGCAAATCTTCCAGTCGTCGATTTTCCTTCTAAGCCGAAAGAGATGCCAACACCAAAGCCACTGAATACGTAACTTTTTTTCTCTTGGTATATTGGGTCTCTTCTCCTTCTTGAAAAGTTTGAATCTCGCTGTCTGTCAGCGATACGGAATTTTTAGTGTTTTAGTCGGCATAATTCGAGAAATCTCCGACCAACAACTTGTATTGAGAATTGTGAAAACTTTGCCATTCATTCATCAACCTGACCGAGAGGCGCCAAAGGCGAGTGACGTGTCAGCAGCTGATTGGTTTTATCAACACACGTGAAAAAATATCGTATATTTACGGTTACGGCTTTTCTCAGAGCCGGAAATCCCTGCATAACACCGCAGTTTATGTGATAAACTACTTTATTAAACAAAGAGTAATATTGTTCACAAGGAGCGACTCCTTAAGGCTGAGTACAGTACTCATTCTCGATAACCTTACTTAAGCCCACTACAGTTTATGTCTTACCTACCACTAATCCAAACTCACAGTTTTCTTCGTCTCTCGATATTAACAATCTTCCACTGTAGCTCTCACTCACGGTATAGCTTTCTAAACAGTCGATCACTCCCTACAGCAACAACTACTACTTCTACATAAGTGAGTCCTGATATCCATTCCAAATTTGCATTAGGGTATTTATCTGTTAGTATCCCTTTTGCAGTTGGTGGAATTTGCTTCTTAACCAGAAAAATGTCATAGATTTGTTTGGAAGAGCTGTCGAGAATTGGAACCAAGTTTCCACTGCCCATTTCAATTTTGGGGGTGTTTAGAATATCATCAGAGGGTGGATAATGCTATCCAACAGATAAAATTGTCATCCAGCAGATACATGAAGGTGTTTACAGAAAGGTGGACTATCCACTGGAAAGAGATTAGTCCAGGTGATAGTATTATCCGCCTGAACAACCGAGACCACAAAAGAAAAATGCATCGATTCTGAATGATGCAAAGGCATTGCTTTGGCTGTCTATGGGTAGGACTTTCTCTCATTTCCTTCTCTGCTACTTGCATGTCCAGTATTTCGTATGCCAGTCCGTCACCAAGCCACACTGGAAAGAGCAGTCGAAACTGGAGGGAGCTAATATAGCTGGAGTAACATTTACTATTTCTTTTTGTTGACTTTCTGATGAATCATCTCCCTGAGGTCTGACAAGATTTTGTTTTGTCTTGGATTGTTCCTCATAATTAAACATAGCCAGTGCTCGCCTGTTAAACAAGAAGTAAAAGGTTTACAAGGTGGTGAATGGCTGGTATAAAAAAAAAAAAAAAAAAACCAACTGATGCTATGGACACAAAACAATCCATAGGCACATTCACCCACTTTTCATCTGCACTGTAAATCTGGTTCTCTTTTCTCAAACGTGCAGCTTCCATGTGACGATCCCTGAAAGAAAGACAAATAATAAAAGTCATTCAACTTTGTCCAAGTAACTGATGATATAACTCTAATTAACAAATAAAGAAGCCTTGGCTGAGCTCTGCTCAAGAACTTCTTTCGTGCTCTAGCCGCTTCCTAAGTGCTTTATAACAGAACAGAGCACAGCCAAGGCTTCTCTATTTGTTTTATAATAAAGAATCCATTAAATTCCCCGAGCATTACTTTCAATTTTCAAAACAAACTTTATTTCCAAAGCGAACAACAGTGTCGTCAGCATGCTCTATACTCTCATAAAGCACGCTACAATAAGCCAATCACAATCCCTG